CCCCCCCCCCTTGTCATATTAAATGAACTTTCCCTTATCTTTAGAACAAATGAACAAATTCTTCCATACTTGAAGGAAGCAATTACGTCGGGTGAAATTGGTAAACAAAGTTTTGGTTACACAGGTTTTATTTTTTTGCCCGTAATTTTTAAGTCAAATATTAAAGAAATAGACAGAAATAGTAATAGCTCATTTATTAGATTTAGAAGATGGACTTCTCCGACAACTGATCTGATTTAATTTGAAGTATTGAAATGCCGAGTTTCGATTGTCTCGAAGATGTTCACATCATTTTCATTCAGCAAATGCGATACAAAAACTCGCATAAACAAAGGTTACACAAGTAGAAAGACACAATAATCAGTTCGAACAAACATTGAAACTTTTCAAGTGCGAAGAGAAAGTAAATTACCTGCATGATTTCTCTTCTCCTCGGCCGTCAATCTGAATTCTGCGTATAAACAGCTAAGCTTTTTCAAATATGAGCTTAGCTAGATAAAAATGAGGTCACAACAGTGGACTAAAAGTGTAAATTTGAGCAGAAATTAGACACAACTTACATATTTCGCTTCCCTCTCGCTTAAACCAGGTGAATTGAAAACTTTTTTAACGAAAAGACGAGATTCTGAATTACCGAGACGGCAAAATACGAGCAAAATGTTCTCCGTAGTCCCGACTACGCGAAACAGCTCAACAACTCACCGTAGCCGCAGGACTACGCGGGAAAAACGAACAGTCACGTGGTTTTGAACATGCGTAGTGGCATGTTTAACCGTAGTCGTAGTCCGTAGTCGCCGTATCTTAAACTCCCTAATAGAACGAAGTGACCGAAAACCCAAATCAAGATATTAGTACAGTCAAAATTACTTGGTGGATATTTTTAGTCTGTTGTGACAGTCAGAGATAGTAGGATTAGGGCGTGCCGTACATTAAGCCACTTGAATGAACAGCTTGTTGTGTTTTATTAAAGGAATTTGATTGAATTGAAACCCGTTCTTTGTTGGAAGTTTGAAGAAAAAGCATTTTCCACCTTTTTGGGCTGTTAAATTTCATGTTTTAATAGACGAATTCAAAGCTCTTCCTAAATCGGTACTAACACCAACAAAATAGAACATTACACTGTTTCAACAGGCTCGCCAGGTTTAAATTTATAAGTTATATGTGTGGTACAAAGTCTGTTTGTTAATACTCCCTACACTCATTTGTCTTAGCAAACTAATCGGCTGATTGTTGGATAACGTTTCACACTTAAATTACAATTTCAAAAATGACAAAAAAACACCACGGATGTTTTAGAACCTGGAGACTTAAATAAGTCTTTAGCTTCAGCCAATCGACTGAATCGATTTGAGTAGGTAGGAAGACTGATAAAAACGAGCCAAGTTTGAAGTCATCATAGTCATTAGTCAGGGGTGTAAGCCAGCCATTCTTTTCTTTTTAGGCCCGAATTGTAGAAAGGGGATAATATGAACTCTTTTCTAGGAGCCTTTCACTTGGCTCCATAGCTACTTAAGGCTTTCAAAATCAAAGTGGTGGCCCATTCCTTACTATAAGTTTGCTCCCAGACTAAGACAAAAACAAAACAAAACAAAAGACAAAGTAAAGCAAAGCAAACAAGGACAAAACTGTTTACTAGATGCCAGGTAATCGAAGTATATAAACAAAAGGGATCCCTTTGTATCTTCTTGAAAAACCAAGATGGCGTTCAATGATAAATTTTCCAAGTGAATCATGTGCCAATTTTACACATCACCTCGACAGACATTCTGTAGAAACCTAGCTGTATTAGGTTCAATTTCACGCCTTTTTATAGCCTGTTAACGGCTAGACGTTTTATTTTTCTTTTCGTTCTTTTCTCCCCTGCGGTTTATATTTTATCCCCCCCGCTCGACGGACTTTGAAGAGAAAATAGAGAGTCTGTGAACAGGCTAGCCTTATTAATATTGGATTACACGAGCTCATTTGAATCCAATATTTTATTAAGTCCGGTCTCATTTACTTAAAGACAGCTACGTCCTTGGTAGTCAGTGGGTAGTCACTAGACTGTCTGAGTTGCCTTCCGAACACACTCGTTTTCTCAACCCGCACATATGCTTGCGCGGCTGGTTGTATTTGACCCCACAAGCAAACACTGCGCAAAAAGGCACATATTCGTGACCGAATTTGCCCGAATACGGATAGGCACACGTGGAGTGTACGATAATATCCTGAGGTATTCAAGCACGCATGACGCGACGTACACCTAGAATATTCTACTTA